GCCACTATGCATATACAATCTTTCATACAAAAAGCTTACTCAACAAATGTGCATTTGGATCCAATAAATGTGCAAATTTAGCCTATGGAGGAGGTGGGGGGAGAAAACATCAATTGGTTAGGAGAAGTCCATTTGGCTGATTCCCTTGTTTCCCAAGAAGGTTCAGCCAGGGCACTTCAGCTGGGGGTCTTGAATGACATATTGTTGTTGCCCAAACCAATTTTAATCAGCCCAAATTGAGCAAACACTCTTGTTTGTTTGCCTACAGCAAAGTCTCAATACAGTTAGGAGTGATAATGTAGCCCATGCCTTTTTAGTGATATTATTTTCACATCTCCTGTGATGTCACCATTTCCTAATGAACAAGGCCAACAATGCACTAGCATTGCAAATCACAGTTAAATACCCAAAGAAACTTAATGGTGTGTGTTTTTGGTAATTAGGATAATTTGGGTATTGGAATGATGATTTGCTTTGCATGTCTGTGTTGAGGAGGTGGACTGCTCTTGCCTCAGTTAATGCATTTCCACTGAAGAATGTGTATTGCTAGACTCTAAGGCAGTGGTTCTTAACCTTGTTGGAGGTACTGAACCCCACCAGTTTCATATGCGCATTCACCGAACCCTTCTTAATTGGAAAAATAAAATATGATTTTTAAAATTCAAAACATAGGTATATATTTAGGTATATATTTATACATAGGTGCACAAAATGAACAAAACCATTAAAACATGATTTTCACACAAAAACAAAAACATAATAATGAATATTTACTGCACGAATCATATGAGTCGGGTGTGGGTCTTCACCTCCGCCGAACCCGCGAGACTGACTCACCGAACCCCTGGGGTTCGATCGAACCCAGGTTAAGAACCACTGCTCTAAGGATTGTGGATTGAGAAAATTGGTTGTTTCTCTGAAGTATATGCACTTCAACCCTGCTGATTGGCAAAGGTGTGGGCTCTTGTGTATGACATATTGCTAAAATGAAGAGTCGCTATTGATAAGACAAGAAGATATCCAGTTGGGATCTGAAACCCTCTGCAGTACTCACCTGTTGATCCATGTCTCTTCACTCTTCTGCCTTCTGTACAGGAAGATTTTCCATCAAGTTATAATATCTCCTTGAGCAATGAAGACTGCTGCCAACCAATAGGCTTTCTTTATTGGTTGCTAGGAGGGTAGAATTGACTGATTATTGGAGGAATGAGTGAAATCACAATTGCTCTTATTGAACTGTTGATGGCCATGCCATAGGTACTGAAATGCTGAATCTCGAAGAACAAGTAGAGAGTCCTTGGAGGAGGGGCAACATCCTATCAATGAACAGCCTAAAGGTCATTACATGGTGATCAGTTGTGGGGCACAATCTTACTGCCAAAAGATCATTTACAATATAATAACATAATCACGTACATTGGAATGATCCAAACATATCTGTTTATGCTTGGGGCAGTGGTTCATTATTTTCCTGAGTTTGATAAACCAAGGGTGTCTGGTTCCATACCTACATATAATCTCCATAACTCATGTCCATGTAAAGACCAAGGTCAGAAACACTTTTAATTCTTTCAGATAGTTAACAATTGTTTCCCCTAACGGACACTATTGTTTACACATCTTGTTGGCTTTTATACAATTCAGGAGATTCTTAGTAGCATGAAAGATGACAGACACTGCAAGCAAAGGCTTACAGAAAGTCCATAGTGTCACATTGTAGCAAACATGGCAAAATGACAGCGCTTTAAGCATGAAACTCTGATCATACGTGTAAGATTCACATTAACACTCTCTGCTGTCTCTTCTCAAATTATTGCAGTTATTCAAAACAGGCTGGCATAAGAATTTCCCAAACCTCTGTTATGAAAATCCATTGTGTTGTTACATAGGACTTTCTGTGATTTGGTTTATGCTAGTTCAGTGTTTCTCAACCCTTATTCCAGACAAGGCACCCTTTAAAATGATGGACAATCTCAAGGTGCCTTCTAAAATTGTGGACAGTCTAGAGCAGGGGTGGGCAAACTTTTTGACTTGAGGGCCGCAATGGGTTCATATATTGGACCCGGGGCCCGGACCAAGAGTAGATGAATGATGTGTATGTGTCATCCATAGTAAGTATAGTAATATTCCCCCATAGTAAGCTTAGTAATTAATCCCCCATATAGTAATTCATCCCCCATATAGTAATTCATCCCCCATATAGTAATTCATCCCCCATAGTAAATTCATCCCCCATATAGTAATTCATCCCCCATATAGTAATTCATCCCCCATAGTAATTCATCCCCCATATAGTAATTCATCCCCCATATAGTAATTCATTCCCCATATTAATTCATCCCCCATATTAATTCATCCCTCATATTAATTCATCCCTCCATATAGTATTTCATCCCCCACAGTACTATTCCCCCCAAGTAGTAAGCCAAGTCCCCCCTGTGTCAATTCACTTACCTTTGCTCCACGTGTTCCTCTCGCCGTGTTACCGCACTGTTCCGGTCTTCAGGGCGGACTGTGAGAGGAGCCTAGCTCCCCTCACGTTCGTCACGCTGCCCCGCCTACACACATCCTGACAGCCAATGTATCACGCTCCACGGCCGGATTAAAAGGTCCGCCGGGCCGTAGTTTGCCCATTGTTGGTCTAGAGGCACCCATTCTATAATGTAAAAAACTATTCTAATAGTTTTACATAATGCATCAACATCCACATTTGTTGTACACCCATTGTTAGAGATGATTTATTCTTCCAAATCAAATACACTTTTGCAAACTGGTACTGACTAGTATTCCAAGATTTCTCTTCTCAATACATTTTTCTCCATCACTCAGCTAATGTGACCCCAGCTCTGATGGAGAGGGACAGGGAAAGGGCAAAAAGATACTGTGCAGATGACCAACATCCTCCTTATCGACTGATGATGTCAGTGGTTCTTGGGATGCCGGCGGCTAGAAAGTCATAATGGATAAACTGTGGGTATAGGATGGTGTAAATAGAGGTTTTGTGTGTGTGTTGGTTCAAATAGATGGACTATTTTTTTTTTTTTTAACAACTGGACTAAATATCAGGGCTGGATCTAGCCTATCTCATTTGGGGGTGTGCAGTAAAGAAAAAGTCAGGGGGGCATAATGTCAACACTGTATGTAAGTCACTGACCGTTTATCACACAGTATGACAGAGATGCAGGGAACTAGTATTCCCTGTTCACTCCGCACACGTCTGTACAAGAGTCATGACTTGGGAAACACAAGTACGTATCAAACTGTCATTAGAATGATTAAATAAAACTAGTGTCCGTATCAGAGCCCCTCTTACATCAGGAGTTTTCATCAGAGTGCCCCCTTACATCAGGGTCCCCATCAGAGTGCCCCTTACATTAGTGTCCCAATTAGACTGGCTTATGGATCAATGGATGCCTTCTCAGACCTGAGGTGGGCAAAACTAAAACACCCCAGCACCCCCCCTCCTAGATCCAGCCTGCTAACTATGTAACTGTATAATACAATTGTAGTGAATTAGGAGGTACAATTAGGCAAAACATAATCGGAGTCATTGTAAAACTATACCAGGGATGCTCAACTTGTGGCCCATGGGCCACATGTGGCCCTCGACCGCAAACCAGGGAAGCACATGCTTGGGGTCAGCAACTTGTTGATTACGATCTGAGCTTGCCAACCTGGTATCCTAGAGCATCAGAGTGCATCGAGCTGGCACCGGCAGCGGAGGGAGCAGGAGCCGCATAAGCCAATGTTTCCTCTTTAGCGCCAGCACCTGTTCCAGGCAGAGTGATACCAAGTGCACTTTGCCCGGGGCCTTTCTAGCAGCCTGGAAAGTGATGCCAGCAGAAGCTGGAAAAGGAAAAGAAGGTCAGTGCAATAAATAACACATACATTGCTCTTTTGCAGTGGGCATATTAGCACCTTTAAAAGAGTTAACAACTATTAGGCTACTTTCACACTTATCCGGGGGTGCAGTGCACCTGTGAATTTTCTTCTGTTAGCTGCGCTTTGCCGTATACTTGTGTATTATCCTGCAGGTTTGGTGCACTCTCTGAAAGCACACCCAAACTCCTGAGTGCATGTTCCCCATGATTAAGCTCTGAGGAGCGGGGTGAAACACATTGGGGACATGGCCTGGTGGGAGCCCAGGCTGAGACTGCCATTCATTTCAATACCAGTGGGTATGCATAGATGTTCGGTTACATGTGATTCATCCTTTGCTTAAGAGTTATTTGTAACTGAGATGATCTCCTTCCCTGGCCTGCACTCACTGTGGTAAAAAAACAGGATTGTTTTCCCTCGTAGCCTGAGCAGTACACATTTTCCTCTATTGCTTCACTCTGATTTGAAATGACTGGATTGGCAAACTACAGGTTAACACACTCCAAGTGCAGCATACTGGATGTCTTGCATTGGTTGGAAAATTTGTGTGTGTGTGTGTGTGTGTTTCTGTACTGAAAAATATAGGATAATTGAAAAAATGTGTGACATCACATATGAATGGATAAGCCTTAACGCTGGCTGCAGAAAGTAGACCATAATCCTTGACTTGAGCTTTAGAACACTCTGGCACACTCTTCTGTATTGACTGCTAAGGCTGGACTAATTGGATGACGTTACTGTTCAAAGAATTTTTTTTTCAGATCAAAATGAAGCTGAGTGGTGCCAACAGGGCCAACCACATTTTGAATTTCAAGCCATGTATGGCCAGTATTACTCTATCAACAATGTTTTGGCTATACATAACCAAATATCATTGTAGTCACAGACTTTACTCCATTGCATGTGTGAATTGGAAAGATTCAGTTCTGAGGTTATGCAGCTCGAAGCATCCAATCAGGTATTTTGTTTTTACACACATAGTAATAACTAAGAGCTGAACTCTGATCAGTTGCTTTGGGAAACAGTGTTTAGTCTCTTGATATTGTACACTTCTACAGTATATATCTGTGTAGCTTAGATGGTATTACTGGCAAAGTACTGAGTATGCTTTTGGCACACAGGCAATCGAGAAATTAATGGCCTTGCTGGAGACATTGGATCACTGGATTGACGAGACGCCCCCTGTGGACCAACCTTCGCGTTTCGGGAACAAAGCATTTCGGACTTGGTATGCAAAGCTGGATCAGGTAGGTTTCATCTAGAACTGGCTACACAGTGTGTGACTTGTTGAACAAGTTTTAACCTTCTATATTGTCTGACAATGTCTGCATAATCTCTTGTGAGACTAGAGAGTTTACAGGAGTCATGGTAGACACATCATGTTTTTTTTCTGGTTTCCTACACAGCAAAAATTGCATATGAAATGCAAATACAAGCTGAAATGCACTGAAGGAGTAATATATTTAGAATAAATATGCTACATGATATCTAATCTACCTCGTTTCCCTGTGTGTAACACACTTCTGTACAGATATGTTTATCGCAGCCTCTGCTTTCTGTCCCACTGTGATGGTATTACACTGTACTGGTGTAGTCTAGTAGCTTTCAGACTTTTCAGTGTGCTGACTGTAGTGTGCTTCAATATTGTAAAATATATTCCCTCACAAAGGTAGATTTGTTTTCCAAGAGCTCTCAATATTTGGGCTGTTTCACACAGGCAGTCGGGGGCAGAAAAAACAGGCAGTTGAGCTGCAGTTTTACCACCCACCTCAATTCTACCATTACAAATGGGCTGTACACATACTGTGGCGCTTTTATTTGCAGCCACAACAGTTTTAACTCGGCTAGCAAAGTTGTACTGCCTGTCAAAAGCGCCCAATAAAGTTGATGAGAGTGCGCCACAACTGCGAGCCAAACACATAGCTTGCAGTTGTGACGCACTCCCATTGACTTTAATGACTTTATTTAGCATGGTATTTTATTACAAAATTCCCAAAAATGCAAGAACCGCTGTCACCCACATGAGAGAGCCTTTATGGCTCATTCACACCTAAGGTTGTGGGGAGATAAGATTCCACAGTTGAGCCACGCTTTTGTCACCACCCCCTTTAGCTGCAGAAGCAGTTCCATGAATTATACTCTTGTTCTTTTCGGTGGCCATAGTGCCTGCCAAACATGACCCATTCAAATGCACACAGTTGCGGCATGCTAGTATGAGGACTGTCAAATGCTCTGTGACAAGCAATCCAAAAGCGGATTGCTATTCAGAGAGTGCCGCTAATGTAAACAAGCCCTTAGTCCTTTTATGAAGAACTACTCTAAGCTAGTCCACCCAAAAGTAACATTGCAATTATATTTGGAGCCATCCACTGGCATTTTATACCTCTTGGGAAATTCTAAAGTGAGTGTCACATGTCATTGTTTTTGATGCCATATCTACCCACCATAGAGTTTTGTTTTGAGTATTCCCAGTCACAATGGGATGTCTTCCTTGTCACAAATCAATGAAAAATCCAACATGGAGAGGAAGTGCTGTCACCCTGGGGTCTTTAGGATCTGTAAGAAACTGGTAGTTGGTTTAGCAAAATTGTAATCTTAGTTTAGGGTGGACTGACCCTTTTAATGTTCTAATTCAGTATAGCAGTAGCTGTAAATATGCACGCTTGGCGTATGCACAGCACTCTTCTTTGCTCCAGCAGAGAAAACCACAAACATGCTTGACACCCGGGTTTTTTTTCACAGGAAGCCGAGAATCTCGTTTCCACGGTGATCCCTTCTCAGCTAAGCGCGGCAGTGCCGGAGGTGGCTGTGTATTTAAAGGAGTCTGTGGGAAACTCCACCCGGATTGACTATGGCACAGGTAATGGAGAAAAATGGTGTACGTACTGAACATCCCAGGAGACAGACAATCCAGCCAATATTCACAGCTTCCTTTTGACCCCTTCTCTATTGTGCATGGCACTTTCTTATGGCTGTGCGTACATATTTGCAATTACAAAAACATGTAAATACATTCACTCACATGTGTTAGTCAGATAGGTGTGCTCACTTAAATGTAGTTCAGTTGTCTATTTAGCTACTTCCCTTGGGATCAGCTTGTAAAGAGTCAAAAGAGAAATATGAGGAAGAATGCTAGTTGCATGGCTGTTATGGTAAACTTGTGCTTCAGTGTTGAGTCACTGATTCTGAAAAAAATCAGACGAGAATTCACTGCCTGAATACTTGTGCTAAGTCAGTGACTCAGGAGTAACCAATAGGGTTTAAATGATTACCAGGCAAATAGCATTTTGAGGAGGAATTCAGCATTAGCAGTCTCTCTATTTCTCCAAAGGCATATTTGGTTTTAAGGAAGAACAGCTTGGCTATCAGCATGCAATTTAATTTCCCTCAATGCATTTTCCAAAAACACCACTGACTTATTTAAATATATTTTGAATGACTGTCTAGTTTTATGTTAGCAGGTTAGTCTCCCCGAAAGTGATCTTGCTGGGCTCAGTCATTCACATGCTTCTTGTGGGATTCCAGCAGCCTGATCTCCCTGTCATAGTCCTTATCCAGGGTGTTAATTTTGGATATTCCCATCTTTCCTGTGAGGAGCCAATTAGGATTTGTAACTATATTTTTTTTTTTCTGGAAACACATTAAACTACCCTTTTCTCTTCGTGATAACACTGTATCCTGCCCTCCATTTCATCGCTCTCTGCTGGCATAGATTACAAACAGACACAACCTTTGCAAAAGTGTCCTCACACTTCTTCTCAGGGTAGCAAAAATTTGAGACCCTGAGAAACCCTAAGAAATATGTGTAAAAAAATAGAGAAAACAACATAGTCCTCATAGTGCAGTAGGTTTAATGAATCATAATGCGGAAAAAGCTGGGTACAGAACTATCAAATGGTGGTTTGTGCAACTTACATTGGTGAGGTTGCAGATTGCCATATGAATGTGGTATGACCAAACCTTTCTTCAGTGTTCATGGAGAACATACATTGGTGAAGTTGCAGATTGCTACATGGATATGGTATGAAACAACCTTTCTTCAGTGCTTGTAGAGAATATAACTGTCACCACGCAGAATCTTAGGTGGTCACTCTCAATGAATCCAGATGTTCAGTCCTAGGTTCACTTAGGGAATGTGCTGATGGTCTGTAGAGACTTAATTCAGATATTTTTTCAAAAAGACCTAATGATGTTTGCAGAGGTGCCCATGGTACAGTGGATGCTCTGTGTCCATGGAATTTATGGATGGTAAGAAAGGTCCAGGATATAAATCCTTCTTTGTGCAAGAAAAATGTTATTGAAAGAGAAGTGCGGGAAATGGAAAAAAAAAAAAAACAAACATACATACTCACCTAGGTGGATGCAGCATCCATCTATTGCATCTTTCCCCTGCTGCCTCTACACTGAGAACTGAGCAATCAAAGACTGCTGATTGCTCACTTAGTCTTCAGTGAGCAGAGAGCTGATTACTGTCAGTTACCGGCTCTTCGTTTTGTCCCTCCGGCACTCACTGGAGTGGAGGGGCGGAAGTGGTCGGCTCAGGCTCTCAGTGGCTCACTAAGAGGCTGAGGCAGTTGCCCGTCCAGGTGTCTGGGTGGATCTCGACATTAAAGTCAGGATCTCTCCAGAGTCTGGACCGGCTCTGTGATGTCAACTGATAGCAGGCTAAATGTGGGTCAAAGAAGTGCAATCCTGTGATCCCCAGGAAAAGTAGGGACAAAAGAGCTTTGGCCCTACTTTTCCTTTTAAACACCAATATTTCAGTAAACCTCTTTATCCAGTGTTTTAAAAAAAATTGCAACAAAACACACAGAATTGTATTGCAGAGCGAGAGGGCGCGGTTCTGAACAAGCATGCTACAAAGTGCTGATTACTAAGAGCACTAGGTCAAACTCTGGTGCCTATTGGATTGCACAGTCATATGTAGACACACTGCACATCTTCTTCAATAGGAAAGTGGTAATAGGACTAGAAAATTGATGTTGCTCGTAAAAGGTCTATCTGACTGCATGTCTATTTCCGTGATTCAGTTCAGCCCTAATTTTGTTCAGTACATTAAAAATGAGTCCAGAACCCCTCATATAATAACTTAGCAGGTGTGCAGACCAAGGAACTCAGGAACAGAGATCCAACAACTGTAGTCTTACAGAAGACAATGATGGTTCAACTCACAAGTATCTACCAAAAACGTAAAAAAAAAATTGTTTTAGGTGGACTGACCCTTTAAATATTGTCTTATGTGCTGAGCACACAAAAATCGTCCCACATAAGATACAGAATGTGATCACCAGAAATACATGGCTATTTTTACATTAAGTAGCAAACAGGGAAAGGAAGTATGTTGAGATGTGTGGATGTGTACAGATGCTCAGTAGAGGCTTAGAAAAGTGACTATAGCAACTTGATAGGACTAACTCCCTCCTGAGTTCTGTAGATATTTGTCCTTCCATGCTTTTTAAAATAAGAAAAAAAAAAAAAAAAGCTCTAAAGGAAATTCAGATATGCATACATTAGTGGACCCTATGGGGGAGAATTACTAAAACTGGTGCACACAGAATCTGGTGCTGCATGGTAACCAATCAGCTTCTAACTTCAGCTTGTTCAAATAAGCTTTGACAATAAAACCTGGAAGCTGATTGGTTACTATTCCCACACATTTGGTGTGCAGCAATTTTAGTAACTCTCCCCCTATATTATCACTTATTCATTTCTGACTGGTTGCCATGGGGTGCAGCACTAAGCACATTACATATACTCCCCATGGGGTCCATGACCAGGTGGTAATGACTTCATTCTTGCTGGGGTCATCTGTTTAGCCTGTCCTTTTTCCAGTTGTTCTGGTCCCCCCCCCCCCCCCCCCCCCCCCCCAACTCAAAAACATACAGGTAGGTAGTTTATGTGTGGATATGTGGGCTGATAGAATGCAAGCTCCTTGGAGTCGGGGATTGATATTGACTCTTTTATGTACATTGTAGAGCAATACAAAATGTATCTAATCCATTTTGTACACAGGACATATGAATTGGCTTTAGGGACACAGCGCCATAGCAAAATTATTATACTTGTCCAAGGCTCACCAACCTTCCCCAATCAATCGACTAATGTGACCTGTGTCATTTAAAGCATTTATTATTATTGGTGTGGCACACATTGCTTACAACACAGAGTAACAGAGGCACCTGAAGTGCATGTAGGTTCATCGTGCACTTATTTTGTTTAGCACAGTTACCCTGCTGTACTGGGGTACTGCCTTTAATTCCTACCATGGACACTATGGGGTTAAAATTACTAAAACTGTAGAGTGGTTCAGCTATGCATGGTAGCCAATCAGTTTCAGCTTGTTCACTTAAGCTTTGACAATAAAACCTGGAATATATATATATATATATATATATATATATATATATATATATACACCATTATAAATACCCTTTTCCCCCTTTTGTATAAGTGATCACATTCCCTCTGTTCTCTGCATAAGGTAGTAAGGTGAGGGAGGGGAAACAGCAGTTACCAGTCTTCCCAGTGAATAGCTGGGGGGGGGGGGGGGGGGCATGTCAGCAGAAATTTGATCATTGGAGGAGAGCAAGCTGAATTCTGAGAACAGCTAGAGAACTGACCATGCTGTGCTCTCGTGCTTAGTATGGTCCGTTTTTGACCGGAAAGCAGAGGGACTGGCAGAGACACCGGGGATTTCACACAAAGGAAGCAATACAAAGGGAACAGGATACTTTTTCATACAAGTACATGGTACAGTAGGCACATATCAGGAATATGAAATGTTGGGTTTACATATTTTTTAAGCTTGTGTGAGCTTTCTCCCTCCAAAAATATAGAGGGTTGTCTTTCATGAAAATTGGTCATAGATTGTGCATTCCTATATCAGTGCTCCAGGAACATAAGAATGTAAGCTCCTTTGGAAGCAGGTGTGGTGCACATTGGCTATACTTAAGCCCTCAATAGGGTTAGTGATCTAAAACCAACTGAAACAATGGTAAAATGTAGACAAATGAACCTTCCTTGATTTTCCTTGTTTCAGCACTAGGGGGCCCTGTTGTTGCAGCAGTGACTGAGGCCTGCAGTGGTTTTCTCTGTGCTGCAGCCCACTTCTTCCTGTGCTGTCATTTTTTTCCTCTCTCCCTTACATCATTTCTTGTTCTCTGTTAGTCACTCTAAAACGGTTTGTGTCTTGTAACTCCATGGGGTGACAGCATCAGTCACACGTGTTCGAGGGGCTGCTGTTAGACATGCGAGATGTGCTAGCAGCATGGAGCACATCTCACGTACGCTTAATACCTCCAGCAGCAGGCGCACATCTCGCTGGTACAGCAAATAAGAAGTCCAGCAGCTGAGGTCACCCCGTAATGATTTGTAAATTCTTTTTGCGCTGGAGAAATACTGAAAATACTTTTTTTTTTTTTTAACCCTCGCCACATCTCTATCAGAGAAACGCAAGCTGCGTGCAGCTGTTAAGGAAAAGTCGGCTATGGTAAATACACATTTATTCTCCGGTAAACTGCCGGGGAACTACAAATCCCATTATTCCCAGTGGATAGCACTTGAAGAGCTACACGTTTCAGCAAGCCAGTGATTGCAGGGTAGCCTGTGACTTGTAGTTTTGGCAGTAGCTGCAAAGGCATGATGAGGTAGGGAGGAGGTGTGTAGTTGCAATGGGACTATATTAATGGTTGCCCACAGAGTCATATTGCCATGAAAAGATGACCTGTACTTAAATCTTTAGGTTGTGTTGCTGGAATGGATAAATAAAGTGAAATAGGTTGGCTGAAAGACTAACCTTTCCTAGGAAAAATGTCTAAGCAAGGTCCCTCCATTGTCAAATGCCTATGCATATGATCACAT